CAACCCTGAAGTTGCTTTGTTGGAGAGATGGCACATTGGGAGATGCTTTGAACTTGCCTCATTGCTTCCTTGCAGAAAATGTTCATGCAGTAATACCAAAGGTTCAATCCTTCACTTGCCTCAGATAACTGAAAGACATATTCTTGCCATTTAGACCAAGGACAATTCTCGGGAATGAACATGCAATGGACCCATTTTTGATACTTGCCAGGCATCCTTAATGTAGAGATCCTTTGACCAACAAGCACAGGCCATCATCATACCCATAGTATTTGATTAGTTGTGAAACGCAAAAATGGGATACTAATAAATTGCAAAGTCATGACAAATCCCATTCCACTAACTATTGGGTCCTCACCCCCATCATTGCAAAAGGGTCAATTAAGTAAAAATTCTGTACAAAAGATTGGAAGTGCCTGTTGCAGTGCATCAGGTGGAACATTCTGGGTGGGAGGTGGAACATAATTCTGATTCTCAACAGCAGGTTAAAGTTTTGATATCAAGTTCTCAAAAATTTACGAATGGATTACCCTTCCCAACAGTAATGTATTCATTAGTATGCCATGAATATTCATTAACACCATTACATTCATGGTCACAATCTTGTTAGGCAAAAGTAAGAAAAACATGTGTTCACAAACCTGTTTATATATATGATGTGTGCACAAGGCAGGGTAGATTTCTTCCTGGAAGTTCTGATTAGTACACAGTACTTCAAGAGCTGTTGTCTACCAGTTAGAGTCTAATGGATGCAGACCATCCAAAGCAACCAGACTGCCCAAGCAAGGAAATCACACTTGCTAACAACAGTAACATTTATGAAGAAGGGTCTAGACCCGAAACGTCAGCTTTCCTGCTCCTCTGATGCTGCTTGGCCTGCTGTGTTCATCTAGCTCTACACCTTGTTATCTCAGATTCTCCAGCATCGACAGTTCCTACTATCTCTATTTTTTTGGTAATATGCTTGACTTTAACAAGAACTGTTAAAAGGAGGGAATTTTAATTTTATGAAACTTAAACTATGCTCATTCAAAACCTTAACACCACACACCCTCATAAATACCCTCAAACACACACACACCCTCACACACACACACAGGTTCACACATAAACACAATCATGAGTAAATCAATCACAAGTAATTTTTGCAATGTTGAGGTGCTGTACAGTCAATGGTTGAGCTGGTGAACTTTGAATTTTTTTTATATTTCCTTCCTTTTAAGCTTTCTAAGATTTTATTCTTTATCCCTACGCAGTGAGAGAGTGAGGGATGCCATCCATATGCTTTGGATGTTTCCACTCTCTGATTTGAAAACTCTGCAGATCAAACAGAGGATTGTTACAGGTAGATATTCCTCAACTCAAAAGATCCTTGGTACTGTTCAATCTCAACTTCTTCCTCCTTTTTGCTTCCAGAAAAAAAAAACATTGTTTTGGATAGCTCAGCAATATGCAACACTTGATTTTCAGCAAAACCTTCCTGTTTTTCAGTTATAGCACTCCAACTCCGTTTCTGTTTTTAATTCCCAAAAATAAAAAAAGTGGTGCCTATTTTAATTCAACAAAATAAGTGACAACCATTCTCTGGTTCATTTCTCAGGCAATCCCTTGACCAATCAGCACTAACCTGCTGTGTTTAAAACTTTTAAGAAGATGGCAATTAACTGGCAGTGATCATCAACTGCTGCATTCTCCACGGCAATACCTAATCCGAGTGCACATGCTAACAAATCCTCTCACATAGTATAAATGTTGTTTTCCCTTTACTTTGGTCATTCTTATGACTTTTTTCCAGAAGTATGCAAGGTGAAAAGCTTCAACAAAGTGAGCCTTTGTTAGCAACGGACAATAAAAGCTTCTAGAAGTGGTGAAATGGAAGACAGTAGCTTAAAGAATATGATCCAGGCCATCTGCTCATGGTGTAATAAAAATAAAAATTGCTGGAGAAACTTAGCAGGTCTGGCAGCATCTGTGAAGAGAAAGCAGAGTCAACGTTTTGAGCCCAGTGACCCTTCTTCAGAACTGGACCTGAAACAGTGACTCTGCTTTCTCTCCACAGATGCTGCCAGACCTGCTGAGTTTCTCCAGGAATTTCTCCTTTTGTTTCAGATTTCCAGCATCTGCAGTTCTTTGTTTTTGTACATGGTGTAAGCTTGACACTGAGATAGGGCATTTCAGTTTTTGGTAAATACTAAAGCAGCCTCAATAGGTTGAATGGCCAGCTCCCACTACCATTGCTCACCTCTGACCCTGCCAGGCCTGTGATGCTCCATTGCAGTGTATATGAGGCTATGGGCCAAGTGTTGGAAAATAGGATTAGAAGAGTCAGGTTCTTGTTTTTGACTAGCCAGACTTGATGTAGACCTCAATGATTCCAGGACCTTCAACCCCCTAAACCATCTTCCTTTGTGCCAGGTATAACTCTAATGGGCAGAGAGATTTCCTACTGACTCATTTTGCAGCTCTCAGAGGGCAGAATATCACATCCCCTGATCCTGATCGTGTGGAAGGCATTATGTTGGCTTGTTTATTGCCTCGTTGGGGTATGTTTCAGCAGGCCTTTCCCAAAGAATAAAACATAGGTCTCTTCGCAGCTTTGCAGTGGCAGCTGACAAAACCCATGTCCTCCAAAGGATTTCTTGCTTTTCTGATCTCTTCGCAACTTGCTTTGAATCACAGATCACGCTAATTGTGGTGAGATGGAGGTCATTTGGCCTCTCTGAGCATTTTAATTCTTGTTAAGCTCCCACCTTATCCTCAAACGCTGCACATTATTTAAAAAGAAGCATTCATCTGGATTCCTCTTGAATATCTCAATTGAATCTACTTTCACCACAATTTCCAGGCAGTGTATTCCTAACCCAAATCGCTCAATATGTCAAAAGTTTTCTTTTCCAACCTCACATTTGCTCCTTTTTAAAGCTTTAAAACTGTGCCCTCAGGTTCGTGATTTTGAAAACATTTTTTCAGATCTCCTTCTAGCCTGTGCTGCTAAAACTATACTAATCCTACACTACTCCTTGATGTAGTGTAGATTTAGCATAGCCTTGAACGTTGTGACATTGCAAGCGCTCATCTAAAGGCTTGAGATTTCCTGCCTTGACTACCCTCCCAGGCAGTGCATTGAGTGAAAAACAAATTCCTCAAATTCCCTCTGAACTTCCTGCCTTTCAGCTTAAAACTATGCCCCCTTGTTACTGACAGTTCAACAATGTTTTCTATCAGCTGTTTTCTATCTACGTGGTTGATGCCCGTCATAATCTTCTACACCTCTATCAGGTCCCCCCTCAGCTTTCTCTGCTCTAAAGAAACCACCCAAATTTATTCTGCCTCCCTCATAGCTAATCT